TTTTTTTTTTTTTGTTCGCCATCCCCACCGGCGCGTTGCTTCCCTACGCGAGGCGAAGAGAATGTAGCATGCGCAGCTTCCATGCAGGGCAACATGGATGAGGGGAAGAAGACGGCGGAGCTAGGCAGCGGTGGAGAAAGCAGTGGAGGAGAAAGAAGTGATGAACGGCGCGGTGAGCAGCGCGAGGAACGAGGGGGCCGCTTCAACTTCGACTTCTCCTACGAGAGCATCCTGAACAATGACATAGTGAGGCCCCAGGAGATCGACTGCGGGATGTCCTGCGCCAGCTCGTTCTTTGAGGGCAGTAGTGAACGGGTCGCCCCTGGGGGTGACTACGCCATGGACTCTTCAGGTGACCCGGGGGGTTCAGCTAAATGTGCAAATTCGGCTCCCCGCCTGAGCGCGCGCAACACCAACGCATTGGATTTTTCATTCCAGGCGGGCGCTGATCAGGGAGGGCAGAAGCGGGGTGCTTGCGAGGAGATAGGTTGTAACGACACCGGTGGTCATGACACACATGGTGACGACGAAGTGTCAGCGTACGTGGGAGAGGTCCATGGGGAGCAGCGGGATGAGCCTCAGTGTGTGGAGAATCCCACGCGCAACATGGATTACCTGACCGGGAACGAAGGCCTCCTCACAAGTGAATCGCCCAAAGGGGAGAGACACCATCGCGGTGGCACCCCCGAGGGAGAAAACGGTCACACAGATGGCGCACAGCTTTGCCATCCGTTTAAGAAGAAGAAAGAGGAAAGCCCCTCTAGTGAGTTACCAATTGGTGAGGAACCACCTCATAGGGGTCCATCCACCATCCACTCTGGAGAAACGTGCACAGTGTCATGCACCACTCACTCCGGCGAAACTTCCATCGTATCGTCCACCATGACGAGCACAGAGAAACAGGGAAAGTCATACAAATCGAGTCCATCCATTACCTCCACCAGAGCCAGCGACGTCAGTGAGGCAAACGAAATATATCGATCCCTCCAGACAGAGATAGCCACGTATAAGTTGAAGATATTCCACTTAAAGTCAGAAGCACAAGTCAGCAATAGCTATTTTGAGAATGAAAGGAAAAAGAATGAAGAATATGCTAAGATGCTACATAGGTTTCTAATCGAACCAAGTGGCTCTTCCGAACGGGGGGACGACTGCATGGGATCATTGAACCTACTGGAAGTGGAAAATAAAAAACTGAGACAAGAATTAGCTCTCAAGAGTAGCGAAATCATCGAACTAAACAATGTAGTGAATAAGTTAAAGGATCAAAAAATCATCTTCATGCACTCTCTACAGAACGAATTAGAAGTTTGTATGAACAAAGAAGCAGAGTCATCTCTCATGCTGCATGCACAGACGAAGAGACTAGCCAACGCAAACAATTACATAGCGAAACAGAACAAAGAGATATCTCAACTGAAGGAGGACCTCAACAAAATGGAAGAGACCTACATCCTGCATGTGCACAAAATGGAGAGTCAGATCAACCAACTAGTGGAAGAGAGAAACGAATTCATCTCCACTGCCAAACGGTTGGAGGCAATCAATCTAGACAATAAAAAAAAGGAAGAGGAGATATCCAAATGGAAGCAGAAGTGCAAAGACTTAAGTGAGGAGCTGAATGACTTGCTCAGAATCGTTTCGGCAGAGAGACAAAACAGAAGTGCGAACTTTAGTGGTTTCTATCAAAATGGGAACAGCATTTCGTCGTTCACGTCCCTCGTTGGAGGCGGTCTCGATGGGAGCGGTCACAATGGAGGTACCCTCGTTGGAGGCGGTGTTGATGGACGCCCCCTTGAGGAGGAAAACGCCATTTTGGCTGGACAAATAAAACAGGTGATGGAAGAGAACGACACCCTCAAAGCGGAATTAGCGCAACGGGCACAAGACCTCCAACAAATAAGCAGCCAATTAGAGAGCCACAAACAGGCCATAAAAGTGAAGAGCCAAAATCATGCTGTGCTTCTCGAGAGGTACAACAATTTAGAGAAAGACTTCGAGAATGTTCACCTCCTGTGTATGCAACTGGAAGAGAGGTTCCGCGTGGAACAGAGCAACCACGTGCAGGGAAGCGGCAAGGGGAGTATCAACGGGAGTGTCACCCGAAGTGGCAACTATGAGCAGCTCCTCAGCAAGAGCAACTTCTCCTTGAGTGAATTAGAACTTAATCACAGTCAGCAAAGCGAGAGCAACATCCAGCACTACAAGATCTTCTGTTCTGAGCTGCAACTGGAAAATGAGTCGCTCAAGCAGACAGTCCAACGACTCAAGAGCAAGAATAAGAAGCTCACCACGAGCATGGAGCTTCTCCTGCGCGATTTGGTCGCCGCCGGGGGGACAACCCCTACAGAAACGACGTATGATAAAGTGGATAGGGAACCTCAGGCAGCCGCACATCGTAGCGCATCGGAAGGTGCAACATGGGGGGACCGCACAACTGCGGAAAGTGCCCCGTCGAGCCCTAACCTAGAGGGGGCCCTCCAGGGCACGATCAACGCCCGCAGTTTCGAAACAAACGAAGAGAATCCCCCTCCAGGTGGACGCCAAAAAGGCGCCTACACCCAAAAGAGCGCGTCCACCCAAACGGAGAACCACCCGCTGGAGCAAACAACAGAACAGGGGACCCAAACGGAGGGGATCCAAAGAGGGGACACCCAAACGGAGGGGATCCAAAGAGGGGACACCCAAACAGAGGAGACCCAAACGGAGGGAACCCCCCCAAGTGAACACAAAAAAAAAAACGAGTGCACACAAACGGAGGGAAAGGAAACACCACTCGGCGAAGACTTCCCCGATCGCAATCTCATCAGCGAAGGGGTCAACACGGAGGAGAAGATCTCGACGAACAAGCAGGTGTACACACATGAGAACAGGTCATTCGTGAGCTCCGGCACAAACACGAATTTTGTCGATGTGGCACACGTGGGAGTCAACCCAAACCTTATCGACGTAACCGACGTAGGGGTCAACCCGAACCCAATCGACAGAGTTGACCAAGGAACCACCCCGGAAGAAGAGACGAAGAGCACCCAAAACGGGGAAGCACAAACGGAGGAAGTAAACCTACTTGTAAAATTCACTCAGACGGATGAAAGCAGCAGTGCCAATGAGGAAGTACTCACCGACCTCCACGGCATCAACAAGTGCAGCATCAAAAGGATCATGCTCGCATGCACTTCCTCGAAAAATAAGAAAGTGCAAATCACGACGACTACGATGAATGCCTCCACACAGACGGTGGAGAGTTCGAAGCATGGAAGTCACTACAGATGTGTTGCCTACGGGGGAGACCTATTCTATGATGGAAAAAGAAACAGAAGCACCACCAGAAGGATAAAAAAAAGGCAACATGTTATGGGGTGTAAGGACTACCCCCTCCTCTACTCAGATGAAGCATCAAGTGGAGCAGACGTCTCATACGAATCGTGTTCGACTTCCTCCACCAGTGCGTATGCACGTTTTAGATCCACCAACAGAAAGAAAAGAGGAAACAATTATGCCTCCACGTATAGTAGGAGTAAACAAAGAAATGGAGACTACGCCATCCACACAAGGTTCAGGGATGACAGTCTATATCTCCATGAGGGAGACCACGGAAGTATCAGGAAGGACCAGCTAGCCCTAATGGGCAGCAGAATGAAGAGAAGGGGCAAATATCTGGGCCCTTCTCCCAGTTATGATTTGTCCAGGGGCAGAAAAGAGGACCTGCGAAGAGGGACGGGAACGATGATCCACCAAAAAAGACAAATGGATGAAGTAGAATCGCTTATTGAAATTCTAAAATATAGCTCAGACAATTATGAGTCTGACATGGGAGGTTACGGCGACATAGGATGTCACCACGATTTGCATCTCTGTACAAGTCCGGGTAGATTTTACGAGTGTTCTGAAGCACACCACTCCACGATTAGCTGCAAACGGCTGCCAAACCAGAAAAAAAAACACTCTCATAGAACCCATAAACAAGTTAAGGACCTCTCGGAGGAGGACTGCATCGAAGGTATGTACCCCCCCCATGAGGGAGAAATCCCGCGAGGAAGAAACAGAAATATCATGAAGAATCTCCCATGCCGAAACTGTCATCCGCAGCGTGTCATCGTCAAGGAAAACAAACACGTACAGACGGGTGAGTACTTCCTGGACAGTGAATTTAACTACGACCCTAGTATCCCCCCCATTGGTTCACCCCCTTATGACACAAAAAAAAACATAACATCGTTAAAGAGAAAGATAAAGGAGTATCTGAATGATTACTACCATACCGTTATCATTTGTGAGCACTGCAAGGGGGTCTATGTGGACGTCTTGATTGTCCACATCATTCATGAGTACATTGCTCGAATGAGCTTTTGTCGCTGCTGCGGTGGTGGGTCGGGTAACTCCATCGGGAGAAAAGTGGAAGAGGCGCAGTGGGATGGAGTCCAATCCGATGCTTCGCTGAGTGGGAGCGGTCAGTCTAGCGGCGGGTACAGCAACAGGCATGGCTCTAACCAGACCGCTGATGAGACAGCAAATCCCGCCGCCAATCCCGCCGCCAATCCCGCCGTTAACCCGGGGGCGGACCCCCCCACGGTGGCACTTGAGTCCTTCCTAATCAGACGCATCCCTCTAAAACTTCCCATCTGCACGTGCACGCTGGTGAATTTGAAGTACAAGAAGGTTCTAGTAAGGAAGGAGGAGTCAGCAGTGGGGGCCAAATCCGGGCGGGTAGCCAAGAGGCTATCCAGGAGACTGCCCAAGAAACCAAAGAAGCGGAAGACGAAGAACCAATCGGAAAAACATCCCCCAAAAAAGGATCTACTAAACAGAGCACTAGTCTTAATTAACCATCTGAGAGTAGAACTGAATCAGATAAAATACATCATCTATAGTTTCCTCCTTTTAAATGAGAAGAATGAATTCCATAGGATCTTATTAACCTCCCCAAGACTGATTGATGTGTTTCCCTTCGTCTTGAGGAAGTATGCACTGGGGGGCAGTGAGTGCTGTGCTGTGGTGACCTCGTCCGAAGGGTTGCTTCCTAGCGAGGCGAAGTTGTCCCACAGCGGAATGGTAACAACAGGTGCATCACAAGGCAGGATGAATCTCATTCAGATGGCCAGCTCACAATACACTTCTGTGTGCATTTCACGGGGGAACGAACATCCAAATGAAGAACCACTCAGTGGAAGAACCCGAACTCACGGGAGTATCCCCCATTGTGCATCTAACAACAGAGGTAGCAACGTGACTGAGGTGAACCCGTTTATCGATTCTATGTTGGCCTCTACGAACGATGGCAGAAGATCCTTCGCAGATTGGGCCACTCCACTGTGCGGGGGAAATGCCGAAGAGGGGCATGGGATCATCATTAGAAGCACACCGCTACTGGACGGGCAAAGAATAGCCAATCCTGGATCGGTCGAATGTTCCTCTTGTCTTCATTCATCCGAAAGATTAGTGAACCAAGTCAACCGAAACGAAATGTACAGCGAGGTCGGAACGCACAAAGAACACCATGTGGTTAACCCCTCAGGCGGTGTTCACCACTGTGACCATTTCGTATGTCACGATGGAAAGGAGAACGTTACCCTGTTTGTTATTCTGTCGATGCTGCGCTTGCACGAGTTGCACGTCGCGTCTAATTTGAAGACAGGAGTGGGGTCCACCTACCGTACTGATGATGCAGCGGAAGCATCGAATGAGTTTGGTAGCACTTTCCCCCCAAGTGGGAAGGCTCGAGATGGGAACGCCCCAGATAGGAATAACTATAATCATTTTATCCCCCCCAGCGGAGTAGACTCCTTTTTCGAGCGATACCACCTGCCGCTGGTCGACGGGATGGCCAATTCAGATGAAAGGACATCACTCACACTGATCATGCGTGACATTGTAGAGAACGTCGAGGCGAACTGGAAGTCAATTGCATCCGTGTATCTGCATCTGGACGAATCGCTAACTGTGTCTCCGATACGGATGGCAGATGTGCTGAGGTTAATTCAGAATTACGAGAAAGTAGATCTCTACATGAAGGCGTTATCAAAGGGGAGAGAAGAAGAACTGCACCGAGATGAGCAGCTTCTAGCAGGCAAAGACTGTAACGAACGTCACGCGGCTGAGCATGAAGCACTCATCCTTCGCTTAAAAACAGAAATAGAACAACTCGCTGCGGAGAAGGACGCCATAAACAAGCTGCTCAGTGAAGCTGTGGACGAGAATGCCAGATATTCCAAATTGTGTGCGCACCTTCAGCAGGGGAAGGCCGCAGAGGAGGGCGGTGCCTGCATGGACAAGATCGACTCGTGCATCAGCAGGATTGAAAAGCTGCACGCCGAAATAGAGGTACTCAAGCAGCGGGGCGGGAGCGTCCAAATTGTAAATCACTCCCTTGGCGACAGCGATGTGTGTAGCGAGGGTCGCCCCAACGGAGATGCACACGGAAGGGCTGGCGATGAGGATGACCATCACAATGACGTTTGCGATGAGGATGACCATGACGATCGCGCTTATGCGAGGTACCCCGCTACGGCCAACGAAGTGAACAAGAAGAAGACAACCAAAAGGAGAAAAAATCTCCAAGAATTCCAAATCGACATAATATATAACGTGATAATCATCCTTCGGAACAGCATCACTCATCTGGTTACCTACGTATGGAAGCAAACTTCAAACAATGCAAAACTCGACATGAAGCACATTAGGAAGATCTACACAAACGTTGTTAACGTTCTTCTAGAACTTCCCAGAGAGATAAACCTCACCGTTATCTTCATTCGTAAGAGGGACATCAATTTTGATATGTACTTAAAAAAAGGCGGTCTTAGTTTGGAACCAGCGGGGAGGCAGCTCCACACGGAGAGGCAACTTCACACCGAGTGGCAACTCCCCTCACGCGATTCCCTGCACGCACTACCCCACCTCTCCGACGGCAGTTCGCTGGAGGGGAAAATGACACATGAGAGAAGGAGAGAAAAAAAAAAAAAAAAAATTATAAACTCACAAATGGATACAACGAATGAGACGAACGAGCTGCGTGAGCGCCTCTTGGAAGACGAAACGGCGGTCGTGTCATCACAAAAAAAAAGGGAAGGAAGAAAAAAAAAAGTCCTAGAAGGAGCCCACTGCCTAGTGGGTCTCGCGGATGTCTCCAACCAGGTTATCCAGGGAAGACGCACGTCGTGTTCTGCCTTCCCCACATTGCAGCGCAGGGCATATACGCATGGCATGTTTGCCATAACACTTCTTTCGTCTGCCCGACGTGCACTCTTCTTTCATTTTCACCCTTCTCAGGACTCTTCGAGCGACGTGTCCCTGTTCTTCGATTTGTAGGGAAGACAGAGATGGAGAGCAAACCGAGCGTTTCGCAAACACACGTGGGGCGTTACAACAACGGGTGATCTTCGCGGCTGCCTTATCCACACACTTTTTAGATGCACTCAGAACTTCCGCTCACTATGCAAACAGACTGTGCCAAGAATACCCTGAGGGGGCCAACCTGGAGCTGCCGCCCCGCCACCAAGGGATAAGCACTCCTTTTTGGGTACCTTCCCTCAGTGCCCTTCCCCATATATCTGTCTCTTTCCCTTTCTGTCTCTTTCCCTTTCCGTCTCTTTCCCTTTCTGTCTCCTTCCCTTTCCGTCCATTTCCATCTCTATACCCCCTCCCCCCCGTGGAAACTCGAAACAACCTAGTCGTAAAATGGGTATCGATTCATCTGAGCGGGTCTGTTAAAAGACGTACCCCCCGTCATCGTCCGGTGGTCCCATCTGGCATTGGGTAGGTGGTACCCACTCGGGGGGAGAGTTGTGTTCACAGGGTATTCCCCCTCGAGGGTTCCCTCCTTCCAGTTACTCTCCCAGGGTAGCGTACTCTTGTTAATATCGTAGGAATGGAAATTAACGTGCCGGACTCTCCTTCCATTGTCCTTACCTTCTTCTTGAAGCAGCCCCAAGTTGCTCTCATGGATAACGTTCTCATTTTTGTCTTGCCTGTTAACCTCCCGTACATAAGTAGAGAAAGGACTTCTAATGATACTCTTGCATCTCTTTTGTCTTTCCAAATTGTTGTAGCGATCACTTGGTGTTCCTTTCCCTGGAATCATGGGTTCGAACCTACAACTGGTAAGTCCGTCTCCATTTTTCTTTTTCTGGAATTTTTCCCTTCCGTTCTGCCCCCCTTGGTGAGAGAAGCGCTTCGCGGGTAGCGTCTGCGTATCTTCGGGGAGATTCCTCGTCTGCTCCGGTTCTTCGCTTTGCCTAGCAGTAACACTGTGCATTGGGTTCGCGGCGGCTCTATGCATCTGGTTAATCAGATCGCCGTACATCTGATTCATCACGTCCTGGTATAAGTAGTCCACCCCGCCGCTCCATACCTCACCGCTAATGGGACCCCTGATCGCACCGCTAAGCTGGCCCCTAACCGTACCGCTAACCCCACCGCTGACTACAGCACTCGATGGCGAGGCCTCCCCCAGGGGAATCTCCGCCTGATCGTTCTCCGAAGTGAACTCATCATAATAAAAGTTGCAATGGGAGTTTTTAATACACTCAGTCAGGGCCAGGTAGCTCTTTATTTGATCGATGTACCCCGAATTTATGTGCGTATAAGTGCAGATAATCTGATTTAATGCTCCGATTTTATTTTCATAGTAATTTATTTTTTCCATGAGTTTTTCTTTCTTTCCGTTTTGCTCCTCTGTGCTGAAGATAGGATAGGGGGGGCTGCTTTCTTCATGGTTCACTTGTGAAGGGGGATGCCTCTTGTCCTGCCCCTGTAAGGTCTCCTTCGTATAGCCTATTCCGCGGTCAATGCGGCGTATGTCTCTTCTGCTGCGAGCACCCCCGTGAATATTCTCGTGAACACTCGCGCTTCCCATTCCTCCCACCCCGCTGCAACTTATGTTTTCTAGGTAAAACACACAGGTCTCCACCTCAAACGAGTAATCCTGCTTCATAGACTCGTAGTGCAAAATCTTCCTCAAACAGGTTCTGTAACTACAAAGGGTCTTAAGCATATTTAGTTTGTCGTTCTTATTTAAGTAGCAGAAGTTTTCCTTCATTTTTTTTATGATGTGGATGTTATGTATTTCTTTTTTTTCCGTTTCTGTGTGGAATTCATTTTCAGTGAAAATTTCATCATCTTGGTTGTCTCTCATGGAGTTGTCTCTTCCGCTCATGTATCTATCTTCGTAGGGTTTGGTGGGACGTCCTTGCGTTTCTTCTGGCTCATCGATGGGACAGTCTCCTCCACTCGCTACATTCCGCTTGGGCTTACTTTGTGTAAGGGGTGCCCGTCGCGCAGGGCCTCCCCCGGGGGAACCTTTCCCCTGCACGTTGGACGAGGTGTTTCCAATCACGCCACCTCCATTCGTGCCACCTCCATTCGTGCCACCTCTATTCGTGTCACCTCCATTCGTGTCACCTCCATTCGTGTCACCTCCATTCGTGTCACCTCCATTCGTGCCACTTCCAATCGCCGTGTCCACCTTGTGCCCCCGTTTTCCCACCTCAACGTATCCCCCTTTCTCATCAGTGCCACTTTCGTCTGTGCAGAACTCACAGACTCTGTTCTTCCCCGCTGGGGGGCGGAGCGACAGGTAACACTTGGTGGTCGCTTTTTGCTTCTCTTCGTTTTTGTCGCCGCCGCATTTTACGTCCTTCTCGCGGCCATCTTCACCGCATATCTCTTTACCGCGTATATCTTGACTGCTCGGGTCGTCCTCGTGACCATCTTGACCACGTATATCTTCACCGCGTATATCTTCACCGCGTATATCTTCACCGCGCGTGTCGTCCCCGCTTCGTTCTCCATCTTCTCCGCCAACACTCCCGATGTCCTGTCCAGTCGGCTCATCTTCTTCAGAGCGCCTGTTAGTCCACCTGCCCATGCTCCTATTGTTGTCTGCCTCGTATGGCTCCTGTTTGACGCTTGGCTTTCTGAGGATATATTCGGACAGGTTCTTTATCGTTTCGTGCAACTTTTTCTGCCAACTGACGTCCTTGGAAGAGGCGGCCGTGGCGTCGCTCCCGTCACGGATACTCCCACGAGAACCCTGACCAGGACCCTGATCAGAACCGCTCCCCCCGCTGCTAGTTCCTGTGCTGCCGCTTACATCTGCACTCGCTTTGCCCTCCTGGACGAACACCCCATTTGTCTTCCTCCTCTTCATAGCGCCGTAATGGGGGGTCACTCCCTCTTCATGGTTCTTCCTTTTGGGCGCCATTCCCTTTTCAATTTGTTGCCCCTTCCCCTGGTGGATTCCTGTGTGGGTGGTCGACGCACCGTCGTCTACCCCCTCTGTGGGGAGCCCCCTTGTTGACGGGTGGTTTGTTGACGGGTGGTTTGTTGACGGGTGGTTTGTTGACGGGTGGTTTGTTGACGGGTGGTTTGTTGACGG